TAAATGTAGATTGAATGTATTTGCCCTGCCTTACTGGAAGGCACCTAGTAAATGTTTTATGTGCTAAGATATTGTATATGCAACTTCTACAGAACATCCAAATGAAGATACCAAGCAGAGGGCAGGTCTGGCATTTAGAATGAAGTAAGAAGACTGGGTCTAAGCAATATAACTTGTCAATATAGCCCTTCTGGTACCTTGTTGGGTGGAGAGGGCTTTCCACTCAGCTCTGAAAAGCCTAGAGGTGAGATAAGCCACTCACTGAATTGCAGATGTCATGCTGTTTAGCTGTAGGAAATCTTTGCTATAGAGAATGTGCTGATTCTGCCTTGATTATCTCCCTAAATGGTTTTGAGGTATATACCCCTATATGGAAAGTTTACACTGATATTTAAGATACTTCCTTAGATGGAAAGTTCTGCTTGCACATGAGTATTCCCATATAAAGTTTGTTTTTGGTAAGGCTTGGTCTCCACCCCAAGCATGTGTTTTTTGTCTTTAAAAGCTTTGTTCAAACTCAATTCTGGGCTCCAGGTCTTTGAGACAGGAGTCCACCTCCAGTTGCTGGCTCTCCAATAAAGATTCCCAATTCAACCTCTCAAAATGTGGCTTCTCTGTTTTCTTACAACGGAATTCCCATACAACAAGAAAATACCTGACATTGTCAGTTACCGGCCAAGAGAAGGCTTCAGTCTTTGGATGAGACCATGCAGGCAGAGGGAACATCAGGAGAAAAGAGAAGACTATAAGATGACCAATAAAAAAAAATAAAACTAGAAAAGTAGAGAATAACCAAGAAAGGAAAGCCTTGTCTCTACTCCAGTGGTTGAGAATGATACTTTTAAATCAGGTTTTATGTATTGCAATAAGCTTTTATGACTTATAAGCAGCATGATAATGACATTTGGCTTTAATGTCATTGTTCTGAGCTGCAGGGTCATTGCCTGAATTACTGGAATAATAGAGTGCACGCAGGCCTATGGTGAAAGAAAACTGTGGTCCTCTGAACATAGTAGGTACTTACTTAGGGCTCAACAGAAGAAACTACTTGTTGTTAGCTATAATTCTCACCACTGCAATTATTTTTGCAACTCAAAAATTTCCTGTTATACTTTTCATGAGTATAGATTTTATCTTTAATTTTATTATCATTATATCATATCGTTATCTTTATATCATTTTCTCTTTATATCTTCTTATGTTGCATTATCTTTAAATAGTTGTACAAACTTCTATTTTTAAGTGCACTAAAATGAGGGGCAATAAATATCAAGGAGAGGTTAAGAAAACAAAACAGAAACAAAACCATAGGCAGATGTCTAAACAGCAGATCAAGGAGAGATAAGGAAGTCTCCATTACCAAAGGAACAAAGATGCAATTAAGAAGATGGCAAGAACTCTCAGTACTATTTGGCTGTTGGCTTTTGGCCATTTAACTTTAATAATCATCAATTTAGAAACTGAAACCATACATATTTGATGTTATCAGCAAACATATGAATAATGTCCTAAAATTTCTAATTATCTTCATTTTGTAAATAGTCCATTTGCAAAAGGTCAAGATAGTCAGTCTAAAAGAATGAAACCCTTGTGTACTGGCACTACTCTGATTCATGGGAAAGCTGATTATGGAAAGCCAGGACTAAAACTCCCAGTCCTGAGGTCAGGAGGGAAGTGTGTGAGTATATCTATTCAACTCAGTTTCTCTTGGTAAACAAGAAGTGTTCTAGCCACAGGGTGTGGTCCTATGTTTCCCACTGCAGGGTAACTTTCTGGGGCTGTCTACAAAGGTAGTTCATAGCCTATTACAAAGTTCTACCTAATATCAAGACCCTACTTAAAAAAACATAAGTTTCACACTATGACTGAGACATAGTTCATTCAACAAGTATTTCTTGGGCTTGAGGCTGAAGCAAAATATAAACCTTGATAGATATAGTTCTTCCTTTAAAGAATTTCTGATCTGAAGGAACAAATGAAGTGAAAACAGTAATAACTAGACTAGACAGAATTGACATAGGATATGAAAAAGAAACAACTGGCTATAGAATTTTGCAATAATTTGGCAAAATCTTCACAAAAGTAATGTTTGAAAGGTTATTATCTTGAAAGGTTAGTGGCATTCAGAGATGGAGATAGAAAGTTTTGGGGAACCAGGAGATACTGTGAGTAATGAGACAGAGGAGGGTAGCCAAGCACTGTTTATTTCAGGGAAAGCAAATGCGTTTTGACAGCATAACACTTAGATCTGTGTGCAGCTAGAATGGTAGTAGGGAGAAAGAAACTGTATATTGGGGTATCCTTGAATACTAGGTCTAGACATTTTGAAGGTATTTCAAGAAGGTATCTCTGGACCTGAGATAGTCATAGACCTCCAAGTAACACTGGTTTGGATTTTGGGAGAAGATCAAGACTAAACGTGTGGGAGGAAAGAAGAGGATATTTTTTATGGAAATGTATAAGAACACTAAGGTAGAGAAAGGGTTATAAAGATGCAAATATCGGGCTGGGAAGGTGGCTCAGTGGAAGAGTGCTTGCCTTGCATGCATCAGGCCCTGGGTTCAATTCCTCAGCACCACATAAACCAAAAGAAAAAAGCTGGAAGTGGCACTGTGGCTCTAGTGATAGAGCACTAGCCTTGAGCTGAAGAGCTGAGGAACAGTGCCCAGGCCCAGAGTTCAGGCCCCACGACCAACCAAAAAAAAAAAGATGCAAATATTTTTATGTTCAGAATCCAAATACAAAAGTCAATTAATAACTAAGACAGCACAATAAGGGAGAAACCAGAAATAATACAATATTATTACTATTTACAGTACAAAGTATGAGCAGTATAACATTGACTATTTTCCGTTAGGACTTTCATATATGGTTTCTCATTTATTCATAACCCAATGTCTCTGGGATAAGCATTGCTCTTTGTCTATATGTAAACACAAAGGTTTACAATCATATGGCACTTTTTAAAATGCAACACAGACAAAAGCCAGGACAGAGGTGACTGCTCAGATGTTTTGCCTGACCCTAGGAAGAACGTAAGTCATGAGGCAGCAAGCCAGGAATATACCGAAATTCTGATGTCAGCAACCTGGATGACAGTTGATAAATCAGGTTCCATAAATCCAAATTATTTCTCATAAATCATGAGCTACTCCTATATTTATTAAACCATGTCCCTTATATTATCATGTCCTTTGTATTTTTCATATTTTATGAATTTATTGTTTTATAGTAAATTCTTGACTGGGTACAGACAGAATGATGAAGATAACATGACTGGCATAAAAAGATAATGGGATTATCTTTTCTTTTCTGGGTTTTTTTTTGGCTGTGGCACTTGAACTCTGGGATTGGGTGTTGTTCTTGATCTCTTCAGCTCTTCAGCTCTTGTGCTGGAATTCCAAAACTTGTTATTGAGTCACCTTGTCTATGTGCTGTCATGTATGTGTGTGTGAGAGAGAGAGAGAGAGAGGAAAGAGGGGGGCAGGGATAGAGAGACAGAGAGAGACAGAGAGGAGACAGGTGGAATTATCTTTTCATCTGAGATCAAAGGGGAAGTCAAGAGGATAACTAAGATGACTGAGAAAGGAAGATTGAGAAACTGCATTTAGAAGGCCTGAGAAACTGAACTTGGAAGTGGCTTGGGTAGTCGATTGAGGGTTGCTGGATAGTTGAGAAAGGCTCACAATGAGACATAAATATCTCAGACTGCTTCTGGTGCACAGCCTCCAGGACAGAAATCTCCATGGGTATTATTAAATACATTATCATAGCACTCTCTATTCTTAGATTCCATTTTAATTTAGAGAAAAGGAAGACGAGAGAGGTGAGTGGGTAAATTAGCTTCCAAAGTTTATAAGAGTCAATTTGTCCTGGGGAAATAAGGTGAAGGTCAATCTTTCAGGAAGTACATGAAGGAATATCTCCTGTATTTGCTTTCAGCTTACCATTCCTCATTTTCCCCTAGTCTATCCAGCTTCAAAAGGAGTAGCCCTGAGCAACCAAAAAAAGGATAACTTGCTCTGGCCCCCTTCCCCTTCTTCTAGACACTTTTCTTTTACTTTGTAATAAACTTCTCTTTTGTTTAAGTTGTTTTTTAATTTTATGTTATTGTAAAGATACTGTACAGAGGGGTTACAGTTATATGAGTAAGGTAAGGAGTACATTTCTTGTTGAGCATTGTTACCCCCTCCTTTGTTTTTCTCCTACTATCCCTTCTCTCCCCCAAGTTTTATTTTTTTTAATTGCTGATTCTGGCCTTATTTCTATCCTGTCCAGAGACCAAGAGCCCATCATACTCCTGTATCATGACCACTCCTTACCCACCACCAGAGTAACTTCTACTTTTAAGTTTTTACTTATTTTGAGCTGGGTGTGGCACATGCCTGTAATCCTAGCATTTCAGAAGCGACACAGGAGAGTGTCAAGTTCAAAGAGAGCCTGGGCTGCACAATAAGCTCTGTCACTTTTATACCTGTCATGTTATTTTTTCCATTCTCTCTGTATCCACTCAAGAATGTAACTGCAACACTGTCAAACCATAAAATTTTTAAAAATTATGAAATTAAATTTAAAAAGACAGTGACAGAATATTTATGAGCAAGACTTCTAGTCCCATCCCTAGTACTAAAAAAATACATTTACTCCTTTGTAGTAATTTTGATCCAGTTGTCCAAATTAATCATGGACCAGATTTCTGCCATATGGGTTTGATCAGCTAGAAGCAAAAACTTGGTTCTCTTTTCCCTTTTCTAAAGCTGTACATACTTGTCTTTGGGTTTAAAATCCACATTTAGAAAATTGCATGAGTGAGAGAAGAAAGGAGGTATTTCTTGGAGTGGATTATGTTTTCCTGTTTGTTTTAACCAGCTGTGCTCAACTGTTTACTCAGCCTTGTCTCCAATAAGTTTGGAGCAGTGTGGAATTCAACCACAGGGCAAGGGTTTCTTCTGCCTCTGAGATACCTTGCAACCAAACAGGTTTGAAATTCCCATAACCAGGATCTTCAGTTCCTGTGGAATCAAATTATGGAGCCTCAAAGACAGAATCTAAAGACCACACTACAATTTTCTTTAGGAGGATACCACATTTCTGAAGAATATGGCTTTCTTCTTCCAAATCCGCTGGTAAGGATAGAACCTTGGGCTAGGTCAAAAATGGTGTGTTGAGGTTCTGGTTTGTGGGTTTGTTCTGTAGCTTTATGTGGTTAATGAGAGAGCTATAATACAAATAAACAGTCATCAGCCAGATGAAGATGTTACTAAAAACATAATGAGATCACAAACAAGGAATGTCAGCTTCAGCAGAGAGTGGTTCCAATAGAACAAACATCCCTGCTGCTGTTTTGTTAAGCATGCCGAAGTAAATCTGGGAAATTATAAGCAAGTCTGTAGTTGGCAAGAAAAAGGCCAAGATAAACATATGGCGCTCAGGAATAAGGTACCTTCTACCATCTGATGCAAGGTTTCCAGGAACAGAGAATAAATGGAATTTCTACACTACACATTTGCTCACTGGATGTGTGTGTGTGTGTGTGTGTGTGTGTGTGTGTTTAGTAAGCCTTTCTGGGAGAGCTTATTCCTAAACAGCTCCTGGTCACTACTGCTGACATGTTAACGGAAACTGGTTTAACTTACTTGTTAGAGGAAGCAAAAGAGAACAAGAGGGACTTTAGGTGCTTTTGGGGCTGGTTAAAGAGATTAATTTGATGGCTTTGGGAACTTTTGAGAAAAGGAAGGGACTTTTGGAAACAAACAGCATCTGTTTCACAATTCCATTTAGCAAGCAACCTGCAATGCAATTCTGTTTTTCCCACTGAGTTCGTGTTAGACTGTAGTTCTTATTACATGTGGTTAGATTCATAAAATACTAAACATAGGGTCCCTAAAAACCACCCTAAACTAAATCTAGGGATCCCTAGAAACTACCCATTTCCAACCTCTTTTTTTCTGCTGTGGCTGGCTGAAGAACAGAGAATGTGACAACAAAAGTCTTACTAGTGGCAAACTAATGCTTAAGACTCTTGACATCCCTTTGTTATGACATCATAAACACCAAAGCCACTCAGTTAAAAATGTAGGCATCTGACATTGCAGATGCCTACTTTTTATTTTTGTCTGTCATGGGGCTTGAACTCGGGGCCTGGGTGCTGGTTGTCCCTGAGCAATTTTTACTCAACTCCATGAGATTCTTATCATCAATTAACCACCAGAAATCTGGAAGTAGAACTGTGGTTCAAAGAGGTAGAGTTCTAGCCTTGAGTAAAAAGAGCTCATGATCTTCAGATTTCAGCCTCCTGAGTAGATAGTATTACAAGCATGAGCCACCAGTACCCAGTTCATTGTAATTATTTATTAGAACAAATACCCCACCCCAGCCTAATTTGCCACCTGATTAAGAAATGAATTGAATACCTATGCTGGCTTTTATTTTGTTATGGTTAGATGGGTCTCTTGCTATATATCACTTGCTGACCCAAAACTTATTACTTAGCACAGGCTAGCAATGAATTCATGATCTTCCTGCCTCAGCCTCCTGAGGAAGGAAGGACTTAATTGAAGATAATTCTCGGGGCTGGGAAGGTGGCTCAGTGGTAGAGTGCTTGCCCTGGGTTCGATTCCTCAGCACCACGTAAACAGAAAAAGCAGGAAATGGCACTGTGGCTCAAGTGGTAGAGCATTAGCCTTGAGTTGAAGAGCTGAGGGACAGTCCCCAGACCCAGAGTTCAAGCCCTATGACCTCTTCCACCACCCCTACCAACAACAACAACAACAAAAGAATTAGGTTTTCTCACAGCCCTCAGCTGTGAGAACAGCTTACAGATCTGTCAATCGCTTTGCTATTGGCAATAGTGGTATAGGGAGGTTGTGAGGTAGAGTGGGGATATGGTCCTGTGTCTTGGACCATATCTTCTGTCACTGGATGACCAGTGTTGCCAATTGCTATGTGCTGACCTAAGAGTAGCACTTTCGGTGCATCCAGATGAATGAGAGGAACCAGAGCCATCCTGATGGCACGTGGCAGCTCCTGTGACCTTGAGTGAGCCACCAACAGAGCCTTACCCTCAGTTTTCACATCAATGGATGAAGGTGTGGTGCCTTGTCTACAGTTGCTAGGAATATAGAGGTGAATGCCTGATAAGAAGGCAAAACCAGTCTTCTTGACCCTTAATCTAGTGCTCAATTAGAAATTCTATTCTGGAGACTGTAAAACATCCTTCTCTTATTTCTGCTGATGTTTTCACCACTCTGTTATTAGGATGATTATTACCACATCTAACAGTTATCTCCAGTAGATATTTTTTCTAGATATGAACTTACGTGTTTTAATACAAGATCTGGATGTGATAACTGCTCTCCTTGGCCTGTTCTTTATGACTTTCACTTTCTAGAGGCACAGGTGAGAATGACAATCGTACATGCTTCGCTGGTCCACAACCTTTCCGTGCACTCCTGCCAGTCTTAAACATCCAGTCTGAAGTTCATGGGACCCCCTGAACTCTTTGTCTACCAAGTTCTAAGGATGTGATACTTGGCATGCGAGTAAACACTAGGACAATTGAATTCCACTAGGCTTGGTCAGGAGGAGTCTTTCATCTGTTTGGGGAGTGACAGGTATAGCTGGCTTCCTTCTGCCCAGAGTGCAGCACAATACTGAAGCCAAGGATCTTCTGGCTTGTTTGTAAAAGTCACTCAGGAAACCGATCTCTTCAGAGTGCCCTTTCATTCCAGTGTCACTGCAGATCTGCAGATCATGGAGCTAAAAGGATTACTAGTGTGTCCCTGCCCCCCTGCCCATTGTCTGCACAAACTGACACTGATGAGTAACTTGACCCCACAGAAGTAACCCACTGCTGAGCTTGTTCACATTGAACACTGGCAGTTCCCATGAAGGGGTCCTATTGTTTACTCGGCCTTTTGCTTCATTACCACGTTGGAAGAAAAAATCTGAGACGATTCTGGACCAAAAAGGTGAGGTTGTCTAAAAAGAAATCCAGAATCCTGATACCTCAATGAGATCCACAACGATAAACACAGATTAAGACAACACTCCCAGCTGCCCAATATGTTTTGTGAACTTGAAGTTCTGGGGTTTTTTACATGATTTTTTATTGTTAATATAAGGATGGCGTACAGAGGGGTTACAGTTACACAAGTCAGATAATGAGTACATTTCTCTTGGACAGTGTCACCCCACCTTGCAGTCTACACCCCTACCCCACTGTAGACAATTTTTTAAGGGACAGGAGAGCTCATTACCTTTTCTGGCCAGATGGCCTTGAATTAGAATTTTCCTAATCTCAGCCTCCCAAGTGCTAGGATTACAGAAGTGAGCCACTGACACCCACCTGGGAAAATTGTTTTGATTAATTAATTAATTTATTTATTTATTTTGCCAGTCGTGGGGCCTGAACTCTGGGCCTGGGCACTGTCCCTCAGCTCTTCAGCTCAAGACTAGTGCTCTACCACTTGAGCCACAGCGCCACTTCAAGCTTTTTCTGCTTATGTGGTGCTGAGGAATCAAACCCAGGACCTCATGCATGCAAGGCAAGCACTCTACCACTGAGCCACCTTCCTAGCCCTGATTAAATTTTCAAAGAATGTTTTTGGTCCTTTAAGCATAATTGTTTTAACTGGCATGGAGAAACTATAGTTCCATATTTAGTCCAAAACATAATGCTTGATAAGAAATGTACTCATTACCTCAGTCATGTAACTGTAACCCCTCCTCTGTATAGCATTTTCACAATAAAAACTTATTTTTAAAAAAGTTTAAAAAAAAGAAAAAAGAAATTCTATTCTGGGAGTGTTAAAAGAATAAGCAGTTGAGAACCAGCGACTCAAACCTGCAATCCTAGCTACCCAGGGGGTAGAAATCTGAAGATCACAGTTTGAAGCCAGTCTGGGAAGGAAAGTCTATGAGACTCTTATCTTCAATTAACCTCTAAAAATCTGAAAGTGGAACTGTGGCTCAAATGGTGGGATACCTTAAAGCTAAGGGACAGTGCCCAGGCCCTGAGTTCAAGCTCCAGTACTGGCATAAAAGCCAACTAGCCCTATTCCATAACTTGGCTCAGGAGTCTTCCATCCTCTCTAGTTCACAGGGAAGAAATGACAAGGAAGCCATGCTCTTATTGACATTAGACATGTACACTGAATAGAGGCAAAGCAATATTATGAAGTAGATAAATACTGGGCTGGGTCACAATTATGGAGTATTCTTTGTTTCCTTTTTTTAAAAAAATGAAACAGAAGTAGATGAGACAGAGTAGCATCAGGTTCTGGTGGCATTTCAGGCCAGAAGAATGGTTTGGTTGATGAATAGCTTGTAGAAGAAATTCCTAGTCCTGAGCTGATAAAAATCAATATAAACTCTGATTCACTTTATAGTCATATTTTCCAGATCTCATAAATATAATTCTTTCAGTTTCAATTTTCTTTCATGGATGTGAGGACTTTTACACATCTTTCTAGGAAGAGGAGAAAGAAGGAACTTATCATCAGAATGGTCCCCCAAATTCTCAAACAAATCAGGGAGACTCAGTCACCAGCCTTACAGACAACATTACAGGAACCCATCTCTGAGCAAGAGACAACCACCAGCTCAGAGCCTCACCCACCCCACCCCCCACCAGGAGCACAGCCAGGCTTCGCTCTCCTTCAGCTCAAACACACATGTTAGGGGCTCTGTCCCTTCTGTTAACTGGCCTCAGAGGTGGTCTTTTATCACCTCTTCCAGATGGCCTTTGGGTTTCTTACTATAAACACTTAATAATCTTCCTGAAGAAAACATGATCAAGATAATGAATAAGACAATGTTCCAGTTTGGAGGCATGCTACTGGGGTGAAGGAAAAGAACTGATATAAATAGCCATGACAATGTTGGAGTTTTATTGTGTTTTAGCAACCGATCAGGAAAAATAAACACATACATATTCTCCTGCAGAAAGGCAAAGCACTTGATAGAAACATTGGCATCTAGTTGTCTCGACTAACGGGGAGAAATTAATTGCCACAGTAGGCTATAATTTTCAGATAAGAGACCCAGACAGGAAGACTTCAAGTCCTTCACTGAAGACCAATTGCATCTTCAGTATGGTTGATGGTATCTCTGATGGTGCTTGATG